AATTGTCCAAAAATTACAATTCAAACTTTAGCAAACTTCCATATATAAAAGCTCTTCTGAAACTGAAAGAATTATCCTAAAATTCTGCATCTCTGCCTTACAATAAACAGGCAGGATATAGCACATAATTTAACATCTAAAAACTCAGATTGGCCGTATCGATAAGGTGTAGAAGCGATAAGTCTTCGCTGATTTGATGATACTCCATAATCCACCAATGGGAGATGTTAGAGTCAAAAGTACACCCACTATAATGCAAAGCTGCAACATAAAGAGAAAAAAAATAAGAGATAGGGGTAAGTAGGGAAAAAGCTTGCACGAAACGTTGCATGTACAAAATTATATTAATTTATCACAATTAATTTATATATTAATGTGAGAATCTACATTTATTAACAATGATATAAGCTGTGAATACACCTTTCCACATTGCTTTTTTTTGAAGATGCATCTTCTGTCGAAGGAATTGTAGCTTGAATTTCAAGTCATGGACAACATCGCCGCTACGAAGGAGACAGAAGAGATGGAGTTGAAATTTGGCAAGTGAGAGAGGACAAATTGGAAAGAGGAGAAAATCATAATGAAGTAAGTGAGTTTGATAGGTTTGGCATTTGGGAAAAGAATTTCTTGGAATTTTTTCAAGGATTTGCCACCAGTGACCATGTAAATAATGCAAGTGCTAACTTCAACTATAATTTGTTGGGGTACAACAATCCAGAGACCAAGTTTATCACCAAAAGCATATTGGCCAAGCTCATGGTACCTGTCGAATCTCTTGCCTGGTATCATTTCATGCATCTCCACCATTTGCCAGATTGTGTAGAATGTTATAATCCATGTCAGTAACATTATCGTTACACCAGCTCTCCTGCAACACTTATTATAATTTAATACAATGATTAGTTGAATGTGGTATCACTTGCAAATTTTAATTTGATCTTTCATACAACAAATTTGTATAACAAGCTATAATTACCAAAATTAAAAAAGAAACAAAAGGAGATATCCTAGAATATATGTATGTCGACTGTAACTTTGGGGACATCCGATAAAAAGGTATGTCAACTTAATTACCACAAATTTATTCATTATGTCAATAGTCGAAAGGTATGTCATTAGATGCACCTAGTATCAATTATTATTCTTTGAAACTGAAAACCTGGACATAAGCAATTAGTCAAGATTTGCAGACTCAGTTTTTAAAAAAACAAATAACGAGATCTCCGGAGTCCCAAAAAAATAGTTCTACTATTTTCCAGATTTCCAGAATCAGTTTTTTAAAATTTTAAAAAATTATAAAAATAGGTTAGAAAAACTGCTAATTAGATGATATCAAGCAGTTAGTTATACAAAACCGGAATTTGAGTATATCTAAATTTTAAAACATTCATAGTCAAGGCAATTCCTTATCAAAAAATTTGATAATGAAGAATAAAAACAAATCCCAAAGAAAAAGGAAGAATACAATACTACGACTCATGCATTCCCAAACTAATTTGTGGTTGAATACTAATAAATTCAACTAATATAAAAAAAAAAAACAAATTAAATAAAGAAAAGAAAAAGAGAAATAAATAAAGTTACCATCCCATCTCAGACATGGCATAAGGTAGACTAAGAACAGCAGCACCAACCATGGCAGTAACATTGTGCATGGTTGAATACCACCACTTTGCATTCCGGTCCGACGTTATCGGTAGCCATTCATCTATTGCTTTCTCCCTCCTCTTTTCTTCACTATCTCCTCCCTTTTCCATATTAAATTAAACTAACTATGCTTAGGCAATAGAATAAGAATGAAAAGTTTGTGACTCAAAGAGTAAGGAGATTTAACATCAATTTCGAGTCCTTTAAAATAGACAAAGAGAAAGTCTTTTCTTTTTCTCGATATGCCTTTTCCTATTTATTTAGGTGATTGCCATAAAACCTAAATCTAGTAGTAATGACCTAAATATTTCCTAATCCTCTTAGATATATGCAATATGTAAAGTTTTTTTATGTTTTTAAGGAAAATAAACTACTTTCTATACTTACTCCCTGTTATCCAATAATATTTGAAATTTTTTAAAAAGTGAATCGTATTAATTATGCACTTGTCCTTTCCAAATGCTCTACGTGTGAAATATATGTAGATATAAATAAATAACATCATATCTTTGTTAAAACTACTGCATTATATGCAAATTATTGAGAATAATTCCTTAAGTGTCTCACAGGCTTTTTTGCTAATTGATCGAACAATAGAAAAGCTGATGATATTGACAATTTAAACCAATTCTACTAAAAGAAATAACGAATTTATGTGTTTTTACTTTTTATCATGCACTAATATTATACACCATTGATTTCTGAAGATTTACATTTCTTTAGTTGTTTTTTTTCCTTTTTTCTTTTCTACTGGTGAACCGGAAAAAAAAAATTAAGAAGCACACTAATATTTCACGTTGAAAAATTAAAATACAAAATTTAGTAAAGACGCAAAAGAAGTGATTTTTTTTTTTGAAAATTTTACCTCTTATAGCAAAGCTGTATACCCTATTTATTATAAATAAAAACCCTTTAAAATATTATTTTCTTTAGCTACCTTTTAGTTTTTATAACAATATATGTACTTATGGTCACTTCCTACCGTGAAGCCATTAAAGACGTTGTCTAATATTTTTCTCTCTCATTCTTTCAGTTTATTCTCTCTCAAAATTACAGTATCTTATTTCTCTCTACACGATCTCTCTCTCACAGCGCCATTGTCTTCCCCATTGTTGAACCACGATTCTCCTTTATCTGCAGGTTCTCTCTCTAGATTGTTCTCAAACCCTAGATCTCGATTTGCTGGATTTCATCTCTGTTAACATGAGTTTCAAAATGTCTTGATCAAAGTTTCTGATATGAGTTATATCTTTTCCCAAAGTGAAGCGGACATGGCCTGTTCATAGCTGAATTGATTTTGAATGTTGACATGGAAGAAGTAATCACGCCCAACTATGCCTTATAAAAAATATAAGCGGTCGTTGCAAATATATTCTAGCTAATAAGTCCAAAGTCGAATCCCACAAGGAATTAACCTATCAACCATAGTTGCTAGACCCGCATAAATTCACGCAATCAATCTTCAAAAATATTTGAATAATAATTTGGATGTTTATTAACTAAATATTACATAATGAAAATGCACTAATAAATGACTAACTACGAACGGTTTGTAAACAAGAATTGGAAAGATCTAAGGTTGTAATTTTCCCTATTGTCGGAATCTTTTCCGCTACATTTTCTATAAATTCGCCTAAGTCTTCTCTATCGATCATGAGCACTATAACTGTCGTAACTCTCTCCCGAATAATTACCACAATTTACTAGATATATTCTGCCGAATTACGCTAGTTGGCATTAAGTACAGCTCACTTAGATCGCACCAAGGTTTCATTATCTCTAATCCCACCTTTAAACCCTTCGTATTGATCCCTCATATACGTTAGGAGTGATGTTGTTCAACAACTACCTAAATATGCACTCTCTCCCGAGTAATACATACTAAATAGGCACAGCTAATTGAGGGCCCTTCAATCAACCACATGAATAGTATAGTTGAACAAATAGAGAAAATACTACGGCAAATTTATATTAACGTAACAAGAAAATTATCCTTCAATAGGTTCCATCAAAATCCTAGATTAGGAATTTTAGCTACTCATACTCATAGTAATAATATCCCAAATATTTTGCATAATTAAAGTACAAAGTAAAGATGAAAGAATATAGAAATCGATGATTCTAACTCCCAACAGGCGATTCCACAAGCTATTCTTGCCTCCGATTGCAAAAGTCCCCCAAAATGGCATTTTTAGGTCTATTTATGTGTAGAAAAAGACTTAAATGTGTAGGCAAAGTCCTAGTCAAACCCGGAGGCGAAATAAGTCTTCAAAACTCGGACTGTGCGTGCCCAGACCTGGCCTCGCGAGGCCTAACGCCTGGTGGACCTCTCCCCAAGACTGGCGTCGCCAGGTATAAAGCCTGGTCTATCTCGCTCCTGCCTCACCTCGCCAGGTCTATCACCTGGCCTTAGCCTGGTGTCGCCAGGTATAAGGCCTGAACTAGGCCTGGCTTCGCCAGGTATAACGCTTAGTGTACCTGGCTTCGTCGCTTCTCCTTTTCAACTCTTCCCGAGCACGCTTTCGACTTTTAAGTATCCTTTTTTCTCTACTTTCATCTCCAATTCACCTACACACATAAAATGGCGTTCATTACGAGTAAATAAAGTGTAATTTATCATTAAAGCGTATAAAATGCAAGGCGAATAGTGTGCTAAACAATGAATTATAGCCACACATCAATACCCCACACTTAAACATTGCTCATCCTCGAGCAATCAGACCAACTTATAGACACAACCTCACTAAGCAATTCCCTTAACTCCTTGC